TTTGAGAGTCTTGCATCTAGAAATGACAGTTTCTATCGAACATCAGAATATTCATGGATTTCCCATAGCATTTATGGGCTAAAACCCCAAGGTTAAAAGTAAATTTCATACATTCACATAAAGAAACTATTTTTTTTCCTTTTGTATTTTAGGGAAGGGTCTTCAGAGTATTCAGGGTCTCACTACTAGATTGGACACATAGTGATCCGCCTGTGTACAGCCTCCCAAAAGCTGGGATTACAGGCGCGCTCCACCACACCCAATCTCAATTGCAGTCTCAGTGAGCCCCGGGGGCAAAGCCAGCATGGCAGGCCTGCTGATTGAAGCCCCAGTCCCTGTTCCTGCCTCCAGGTACTTAATCCACTGAGCAATTTGGCTGACCCTAGGAAACTATGTTTTTAGACCCACAGATGTGGTGAGCACCTGAGAAGATAATCATCTCCAAAGACAACTTGTTCACTGTGTAGGGAACAAGTCCCTCTTTTAAGGTTCGAAAGAAAATTCTTTTTTAAAAAATTTATTTATTTATTTATTTGTTTGTTACAGGGTCTTGCAATACAGTTCAGACTCAGTGATGTCCCTGTCTCAGCCTCCCCAGTGCTGGGATTGCAGGCATGTGCCACCATGCCCAGTTTCAGGGACTGCCTGGGATGAGGTACTGGGGATCAAACTCAGGTCCTTGTCTTTGCCAGGGAGGTGCTTAGACCACCAAGTCATCTTCCCAGTCCTGAAAGAAAATTCTAATTGAATAGTATTTCCACATTTGAAGGAGAAAGAAATATTGAGTCAACAAGTTTTGCAGTGATTGACTATAAGTAAGCTAGACTTTATGGGCCAGGGAGGTAGCTTGGTGGTCTAAGAGCCTGCTTGAAGAGCTCAAGGACCTGTGTTCAATCCCCTGTACCACATGCCATGGCAGCCCTGCACTGCACCTTGCCAGCCACTGAAACTGGGAGTGGTGACCCATGCCTGTAATCCCAGCTCTGGGGAGGCTGAGACAGAAGGCTCACTATGAGTCTGAGCTGGGTAGTGAGACACTGTACCAAATAAATAAAAGATTTTTTTAAGTAAGCTAGACTTCAATACTTGTACTTAGAGTCATGGTTGATTTGTGTTTTTATTTGGGGAATTTGTAGAGAATGAGCAACCCACCTTTGACAGAATGGTGGTGTGACATTGTGTATCAGCAATTCTGAGAGAGGACTGGCTCAGTACAACCTAGCCCTTCCCACACTAGTAAAATGGTTGGAATGGTAACTGATTTTGAGACATGCACATGAAGTACATTTTATTCATCCAACAAGTATCTACTCAAACCTATTGTGTGTCAGACCTTGCCCTATGATGTGGGAAGATAGCCTCATTCAAGGAAAAGGTCAGTCTTCAGGAAAGGAAAAAGTCTGTTTGATGTTTCTCCACAGACTTCAAAGGAAAGTTATGTTTGAAGCACTGAGTGAAGGTTATTTCATCTAGGAATCCCCATGAATTATTTTTAGAAGAAGAGGAATCGGAAACTCACCTGTAGCTCTCTGAGTTTTCCGAGTGTGGGACTACAGAGTTGGCGCTGTAACATTCTCCCATCTTAAGTTAGGTCCACTGTCCTTGGAGCAGACCTCAACTACCCCTCGTCCTTAGAGTTTCAGAATCCTCACTATTACTGTCTGTCTGTTGTTGCTAGGCAACTACAATGGTGGGGACAAAGCAGAAAAGAGAAAAGAAAACTCAACTGCAAAGCCACAAGAACTCTCAGATCATCTCACAAATCAGATGCAGGCATGAGACCAGATAAAGAATCACCACATCATCATTTGTGGAAAACTTACTCAAACCAGTGCTGTGGGTTCAGGTTCAGACCGGGGCTTCTGTGCATACAGAGCCCGTGCTGAAGAGTCATCACACTGCTCTCTGAAGAGTGTGCAGACTCACAACAAAAAACAGTTTTGCCTAGATCCCTCACTGAGCTAATCTGCTTTCCTGAGACCCAGGGGTCCCAGTCAGATGATCTCCCTGGGCTCTATCTAATGCAAGCTTTTCTTCCCAACACAGAGTGTTAGAGGAGACATGTTGTGTTGATTACTAGTGTTCCATTCACTGTCACTTTTCATCTGTAGCCACTACGGCTTCCCTGTTGGGTTTCCAAAGTTATCAACTGCACCTTCCCTTTGAGGGTGCACAAACACTCTACTTTCTGTTCTGGGAAGACGTTCATGTAGCAACTCTGCCTCCTGTAGACCAAAATCAAAGCCCTTCTGGGTCTTGATCCCTACATCCCAAATTCATGCATCCTACTCACATAGCCCGTAACAAAAGAGATCAGATTGATATGACATCAATTTTTCTAGTCATAGAATTTGTTTCTAGGGTTGGAGCATGGAAATCAAATAATTTTAATACTAGAAATAAGGAACAGTTGGAACTTACCAATTAAAGAGTAAAATTATTATTCATTTCTTTGATGTTAAGTTCAAGTTACCCAGCACCTTGGTAAAACAGCCCTTTGAATAAAGAACTATAAGTAGTTGGTGTTTGGGTAGAAAAGTCAGTGCTGCCTACGTAAGAGTGTATGAACAGATCAGGCTGTTAGCCTTGAAGCTAGTTAACAACCTATGAAGTACCAGAAAGTCATCTCATTTCCCTGTGCTTTAGTTTCCTTCCTTTTATGACAGGGACTCTTTGTTTTCGCCTCCAGATATAACATTCTGTTCTTCCTTGGCTCCTTTTACTGAGAACCTGGAGAGAATTATACTTTGGTGTATTTTAGAGGAGTGTCCGGACATTCACTGTGTACTTGGTTCATAATATTTTGTGAAAGGAAGGTCATCTCCTTCATAATGGTTGGTGAAAGGCACTGTAGGCAGTAATTATTCATAATAGTTATTAATCTTATCATACATCTCACTGATCAAAAAGATAGGCAGAGAGATATGGCTGGTATAAAAACAGACTTTCAAAAAAGTCCCTGAAAAACAAAGTGACTTTCTTGTTCCCACTCTTCCTTAAAGGAATACTACATGAGAAGAATTCAGAGGAGAAGCTTACAAAAATTTGAGGTTTACTGGAGGTATATTAGTCTACAGAATTCTAGACTGAGAATGCCAACTAGCAAATCAACGGTAGTGTTCTGTTATGATTAAAATCAGTACAATTATCTAAAAAATGAAAATCACTCTGAGTCAGGGAGATAGCTCAATGGTCTAAGCTCCTGCCTGGCAAGCACAAGGACCTGGGTTTAATCCCTGGCACCGCATGCTGTACTGGCCCTGTGCCAAGCCAGCCACTGAAGCCAGGCATGGTAGTGCACCTGTAATCCCAGCGCTGGGGAGGCTGAGACAAGGAGGGTCACTATGAGTCCAAGCTGTGTACTGAGACTCTGTACCAAATAAATAAATAAGTCTAAAAAAAAAAGAAAGAACATCATTCAAATAATCTTAAAGTTGAACTGAATTTTAAGAAAACCACATCTTTTCATTCCTAAGTCTACAGGAAAAAGAAAAAGAATGTTATAACAAACTTCTAGGAATATGCTATATACAGCATTGATATTGCCACTATTAATACTGTTTTAAACTGAAGAAAACATTCTCGGCTTATTAACCTTTATGAGCTATTGCATACAATTCAGATTCTTATCTTGTGACTGTCAAATATAGTTTTATAACCAGGAGGTTTAGGAAGTATGAATGCTTGTATGCTTTGCTGTTAGTGCTTATCAGGACACTGTATCAAACTCAGATGAATAAGTACTTATGGGATCAGAAAGGAGAGAAGGGGAAAAAGCATAGTGAGGAAGGAACAAGATAAAAGAGACTGGTAACGAAGCGGCGTGGCTGAGGTAAGGACAGAGAGCTGCCGTGGATGTCCGTGGAGTCCGCTTGGTTGGCTTGTCCACTCAGCTTTTGTTTGTTTATCGTTTATTTCATTCTCCAAGCATTTCCAGAAATCCCACTGTGTGCCAGACATGGTGTGAGCCAGGCGCAAACTTGATGCTGTGACAGCCCTCCTAGAGTGGATCATTCTCCAGGGTGATTGTTCTAGAAGGCATAATGAGAAAAAAATGAAACAGGCTTTGGATTTCAAAAACACTCTCCTGATTAAAAACAACTAAATGAAAGCAAACAGAAACACCTCCAGGTGCTCTTCCCGAGGAGGCACAATCCTGTGGCCCCCGTTCAAGCTGCTGAACTGCCAAAGTTCAGTCTGCCCTTACGGGGGGGAATACAAAGTATGTTTCAGCCTGCATACCAGACTCTCAGTTAGTGTCTGTGGTAGCAGAAAATGAGAAGAGGAAAGATGATAGAGAAGCCAAAGTAATTGAACAAACAGGTACACAAATTCATCCCTGAACCACAACCAAAGAACCTTCTAGATGTCTGCACAAGTCTTTTGTTTAGCCTAAGAATTAGTTAGCTCATTTGTCTTTGCTTTTTGTCTTCTTCCTTGTGTTTTTGATTGCTTGGCACAGTGGGTCTAATTATCTCCAGGCTTCCAGCTTGTTTTAATGGAGAGAGATGTTTATCTATTTGAGCGGAGAGCTTTTACCCTCTTGGTCATGAAGTCTTTCCTTTGGAAACAGAGTTGGGACTGAAAGCTTTTAATTAATAAGTCAGAATGTAAACTTTTCATTTCTAGCTTATTTAGAACAGTAAAAAAAATCTGTCTTCCATCTTACTGTTCTTTACTTCAAGGAGCATTTGTCCCTGGCAGTATTTAACTCTCTTACAAGAAATTCCACTTTCTTTCCATATTCACCTTTGGAAAGACAGTGAAATCAGATACCAGCCTCCACTATGTAATGGAAGGGGATCAGTCCCTGTCCAGACAAAAAGACTATGGGACATATGAACTTGTCTATTCAGCAACTGGACCCCAGGCCTTTACACCTAAGCATTTGTATCTTTAGGTGTCCCTTTGTTTGCTCATTTATTTATCTCACAAATATTTACTGGGGTCTTGTTGTATAACAGGATTTTTTTTTAGATACTTGTATTACAGTGGTAAGTAAGACAAAGCTACTGAACTTGTGCAGTTCATATTTTAATTGGTAGAGACAATCAAACATATACAGAACACTGTTAAAAATAGACAGAAGTTCTATAAAGAAAATAAGACAACATAAAGAGACTAGGACCAGAAGATGGCCCAGGGCTGAAGGGTGACTGATACAAAGAAGCAGCCTTGAGACATTTGCTGGAAACAATGTTCCAGGCAGAGATTTAGTCCCATCCTATAAAAATATGCCATTAAAAACAGACAAATCAGCTGGGGAGATGGTGTGGTGCTCTAAGCACCTGCCTGGAAAGCACAAGGACCCGAGTTCGATCCCTGGTACTACGTGCCCAGGCACACCATACTGGCTTCTGAAACAGAGCATGGTAGTGCACACCTGCAATCCAGTGCTGTGGAGGCTGAGACGGGAGGACCACTACAAGTCTGAACTACGTAGCTAGACCCTGCACTAAATAAATACATTTTTAAAATTTATTTTTTTAAAAAAGACAGACAAATCATCTTAATCTCATGTCTTCCTGTGTTTACTTGCACAGAAAAAAAATCATGAAACTGTAGCTTGTCTTTTCTATTTTGTCTCTAATCTTTTCCCATGAAATACAGAGTCCTTTGAAATAGTCCTTGATAGTTAGGGTCATCACTAGCTTCTTCCTTGAACAGCTCAATCTGACCAACTCTCCCTGGAGTGGGTTCTTCACATTCCTGACTCTAACTTAGCCTTCTGCTCTTTCTAAGAGGCTCAATATGTTTTCAATTATTTCTCCCCTTTTCTTTCCTTAGCCTGAATTGTTTTGATTGCTTTCAGCTGAAAAAGCCTAATTTGTACATTTGTAGTTTTCTTATTATTGTTGATGTTCACCTAGAAAGCAGTTATTCAATTTCAGGCTAATCCTTATTTATCCTTATTTGCTTATCCTCAGTTTTCCCAAAACATGACTATTACATTGGTGACTGTCTTTTGATGTTTCTCCTGTGACTGATTTTCCTTCATAGGCTTCACTTCCTGAGCGTGGGTCACTTATACATTTGAGAACATCTATTAATATCTTCATGCCTATCCCATTGCAAGATACTGGAGACAGGTGTGATTCAAAGCAGTCATGGTTTACAGGCTTAGTAGACGTGTGGAGAAATTTCTCTTTCAAGTTATCTCTACAGTTAATATAAATATTATTTATGCCTCTTCTAATGTTCTGTTACTAAAAGCTCTGTCAAAACTATATCCTTTAATATTCAACAACGGAACTTAAAAAAAATTGGGGTATAACTATGAATGCCCATTTTGTATCTGTGTATTCAAAGTGGTTGGGATAGATATATAGTTGCATTCTCTTAATGAATAGAATGATTTTTTCTAATGGTGTTTGTAATTAGGTTCACATCTTGTACAGCAATTAACCACTAAGAAGAATATATGCAGTGTATTATTTGTTGAAACTGTACTTTCGATTTGATTTGAAACTGTCTCATTGCTATATGTTTATCAATAAAACTTTGAAAAGAAAAAAAAACAATAAAAACTATATCCTTTATTCCCTAATTTTCTCTAGCAAATATCATAGCAATCTACCAGCTGGAAAATTAAATATAAT